GTGTGAAATACTCAAAGTACAGATGTTAGTTAGATAACAAAGCTAAAACTGTTTTTACACTATATAACTTCCAACACATGGCAAAATACCTTTAAAGCCCCGTTTGTGAGAAGGAGAATCGCAGAGAAGTAAAGGAAAAGAGGGTAGCTGTTTTCAACTTCATACACATTGTACATATTCTACTTTTCTTACCTAAGTATAAAAACTAGTGGATTTAATAAAATACACACATGATGTGTGTTGAATGTGTGGACCATGGTGGCATTGATGTAGTTGATGGTGATGCCGAGGATAACAACGGCTACATTCCTGGTGAGAGCTGTAATTAACATGTCCAGGTGATTCACTGCTTCTGTCACATTACCGTCCACAGGTGTGAAATTCATGTCAGCAGCTGATGAACTTGTTCAAAGCAAAAGATACAGTGTGAAAAAATGAAGCTCAAACATTTTTACAAGGTTGCATTCTACTTAAATATTCAAAAGTGAAGCAAATAATTCAATACTGACCTCAGATGATGGATTCTGATCAGGAGATTAATTCAGACTCAATATGGTTGTGCTATTGCATGAGTTTATATATAGGAAGTACATTAAGTATGTGTGTATGCAGATCTGAAACACACCCTCATAGTAGAGCTAGACCGATACATCGTCCAGGCTGAAATATCAGCCAATATTAGCTTATCACAGTTATATCGGTATCACTGTATGTGGGGCAATAATTAACATGAAACTGCAGTATAGAAAATACCTAAATGTGTTTGAAATAATTTAGAAACTCACAGTCACCATTAGTTCAGAACATTGACAACGTTTATATTTCAATTCAACATGCCCCACTCACTTCAATACTTTAATATTAGTGAAGATGTAAAATGTGTAAATTAAAACAAATCAAAAAAAGAAAGAAATGCAATACACATTGAGATGGTTAAAAATAGCTAAAATAGCATGATTATCTTTTCGTCTTTTCCATCTGAATGAATTTTTCACTGTGACATTTTGCTGAAAGCTAAGGGTGCATTCACCCCTAGCTCATTTGGATTAGCTGTTTTGAAACCTGAAGTGTTTCACCCTCAGGTTCAGTTAATTTATGTATATGTGAACACAACTGCACCAGCATGCTGGGCAAAACAAACAGAAATGTAACATAATATAGGTATGTCTTCATTAGTGTATAATCACCAGAAAATAAGAATTGTTGTCTTTCTGTTACCTTAGAACTGCTTTTATCAATAGAGGGACTCTTCATCAGCCCAGAATTCAGAAACCTAAACCTCTACTAGGGCCTTTATGTTTTTCTCGAGTTCTGCAGCCACCACTTTTGGACCGCTCTTGAATGTTGCCTTGGGAACATAATCAAACCGAGGGCAAAATGCAATAATTGTATTAAATTACTTCCTGAATCAGAGCAAAGCCAACAAACTAAAAGTCTGAAAAAAAATGCTCTTATATAAAAAAATCTCATTTGGCATCAGAAACAGTGAGCAGGAGGAATGAATGGACCACCAGGAGCTGAGGACCTTCTGCAGTTTAATTGTAGCATGAGGGGAAAAAATAATACAAATATAGTAGTTATAACAAAACATTGAATGTATTTATTCATACTTGGATACCAAAGACACTTTACAAAGTTAATTTAGTCAGCTGAATGTATCCAATACAAAACAGAAATGCTTGAACTGCAACTCAAGTAGTAACACTGTGACAGCCATGTATCTCTTTTCACTCTTGTATGTGTTAAAGTGTTTCACATACAGTATGAGTGCAGCAGCAGGCCTTGAGTTCTCTGCCTGAACTGGTTTATAGACATTCTACAGGTGACAATAAGAGATCTGAATAATTATTATCTCCAACCAAATATGTGTCGAGCAACAGTAAACCATTGTAACATCAACATTAATGGGGCTGAAATTACGATTATTTTCTATTTGCACCCATGATCAGAGTTAATATATAAAGAAATAGAAGAAATAGCTAAGTATATACATACTGAAAATTATTCTTATCATCAACAGGATTATGTACGATAATCACTCCATTTGACAAACTTGTTGTATTTTGTTCAATAGATATGATATATCATCAAGATTATGAAACTACCATCTAATTGACTTGAATCTTGGAGTTTATACAGCTGTGTTATATGTTATATGTCTGCATGAGAGTTAAGCCGGGAGTTTCTGCAAAGTTTTCACACTATATTAACACATAATTTTACTTTTATTGGAAGATCTTGAAGGAAAAATTAAATAAAGAATAGTGAGAATAGTAATTATAATCTATACAGATACTAATGTATCTTGAAAGTATTGTCTCGTATGCCATAGATTGATTGGGCTGATGGATCGTGGCAGGAATCTGTACATATATATAGAAATTGCTCAGCGTCCCAGGGTTCGAATCCCGACCTGCGCCCTTTGGCCGCCCCTATGTGGTCATCCCTTTCTGTCTATTTTTCAGCTGTCACTATAATAAAGGCGATAAAAGCCCCAAAAAAAATATATTTTAAGTGTTGTGTTTTTGTTAACTTAGAATCGCCTTTCATATAGAGAGCAAGTATTTTTCTACAGGCCACATTGTTATAACCGTCATGTTGCTACAGTAGCTCAAAAAGGACAAACAAACACTGACTGTAGATAGAGCCTTTTGTGTTTTTACATTACCAGAAGACCCACTGTAGGTTATGCAACATGCTTGGAGGGGGTGAGAGGAGGGTTCATTGGCTTGCAATCTGCAACTCCTGCTCGATGCAATAAATCCTACACACTGGTCCTTTAATGCCAATTATTTTAAAGGCACAAAATGTATTTTTAAACAACTTACAAAATGTAACTTTCAAGCAAGGACCAGATTTTTTTTAATTTGCAAAACTAAACTTGAATAATAAATCTAAACGTATAAGTACATTAATTTGTTTATTTGTAAATTTAAAAAGTCATTTTCAATCAACTGAAAGTTAATTTTTCCAACACAGAAGAATAACATGTACATGCACATGAGCGTGTGTGGGTGAATATTTCTCAGATACTGTTGAGCTAAGAGAGTTTCTTTGTTTAAATTCCATAAACTAAATGAACATGACCAATTTCAGTTATTCTGACCAAACCTATATTCTTGCACATTGTACAGAATTATTTCTGAATAATTAAAATTCTGTAAAACTTTCTTCAATGCACATAAACATCACACTTGATTGGTTGTGTTAGGTTTACGCTCGACTTTACAACAGATACCTCTTCAAGTACTTCCTGAAAGTACAGTCTCGGAATGCCATAGATGATTGGATAATGGATCGTGGCAGATCTGGACAATAATATGAGAAAACGCGAAGAGGGAGTTCTGTATACCAGTCAGCAGGAAACAATCGCAGCAGAGCATCTTTCACTGCGGGGTGTTGCATATGCAAGCCATGCAAGCAGCAGCTGAAACCCATGGAGGAGGATTTGTGTTTCTGGCTTTCTTAACGTGTCTGCTAGAGTTTTTGCGTGAACAGAATTCTGAAATTAAGTTAAACAGCTAGTGATCCAAACTATAACCCAGAACACAGAATA